AAAAAAAAAAAAAAAAAAAAAAATAGAAAACAAATAACAATAATAAAAAAGAATTTAAAAGAAAAGTCTTAAAATAGAGAAGATTAATTTTTAAAGACAGTGAATGGAAACTTGTATCCACTGTTGTTTCTCCTTTTTTAACCTCATATCATACTATTGTTCTTAAATATTAAAATTTTATTTATTTTTAATGGCGAAATCAGTTAAATCCAGCTTCAAAACTTCGGACATTGATTTTACAAATCCTTATTACATTCATTACTCTAATCAGCCAGGATATTCACTTGATCCAATCAAATTAAAAATACGGGAGTAAATCAGTTATGCATGCTTTTATTGCCGAAAAGAAAATTGGCTTCATTGATGGGCCAATAGGATGAATTAACAATACGGGAGTAAATTAGGCATGTTTTAAATCAGTGCAACAGTATGATATTATTTGGTTAACTCATTCATTTGAAGTAGATATCGCTTAAGGTATTATTCATGTCAAGACAACTCATAAAGTGTGGGTTGATCTTCACGATTAATTCTCACAAAAGAATGCTCCAATAAATTTTCAAATACAAAAGTCGATAGCAATGATGTCACAAAGAACCATGGCACTGTCAGCATATTTCACCAAGCTCAAAGCATTCTGGGTTGAATTGGAAGTGTCTTCATTCAAATTAAACCTAATGTCAATAAGCAAACTTACCAATGACTTGGATGTTGTCACCTACTATCCGGATTCTTGTGTTATGCAAGACTTGGCTACGGGGAAGATGATTGGCTCGGGTAAACAATTCAGAGGTCTCTATCATATTTCTTCATCTCCAATTAAATCTTCAGCTTATCAAGCATCTCAATCATTTGATTTGTGGCATTTATGCCTAGGTCCTAAATTTCTAGTGGATCAATTGCATCTTAATAGTTACTTTTTCTCATAACGGTAGTATTTGCCCATTAACAAAACAAACTCGGTTATATTTTCCAAGAAACTCAATAACAACACATTCTGCCTTGCCTTTGATCTGTTACATTATGATGTTTTGGGACCTCATAAAATTCCTACCTCATTCTAGTTTGCGTTTTTTTCTCACTATTATTGATGATTTTACTCGATGTACTTGGATTTTTCTTATTTAACATAAATCAGGAGTACATCATTTGTTAATGAACTTTGTTAATTTGTTCAAACCCATTTTCATGCTACTATCAAGATAGTACAATCAACAATGGGACTGAGTTCCTATCTTTGCAACCATTTTTTACTTCTTGTGGCATTGAATTTCAACGCACTTATGTCTATACTCCACAACAAAATGGAGTCATAGAACGTAAGTATCATCATATCGTAAATGTAGCTAGGTCTCTTCTCTTTCAGTCACAGATTCCACTTAATTTTTGGGGAGAGTGCACTTTAACTTCAAGAAGCAATAAACATATCGAAAGAGAAAGGGGACAAGCAAACCGCAAATCTTCTGCAATAAACTGTTGTGTGCTTTGGAGAGAGCAATCGATCTTCCTATCACCACCTCGATGCGAGAGCGAACGTGAAAACTGAAGTGCGAGGGCTTATCGAGGAGGAGGAGGAGGGGAGAAATTTGAAACAATATTTAATTTCAAAACAAACCCTAAATTAATAATAATAATAATTATTATAAATTTTGCATTCTCAATAAAATACTTTCAAATTTAAAAAAAAAAAAACATTAATAACATTTTTAAACTCTATATAAACACTTTTTAGTTATCGATTCAAAATAAATAAATAAATAAATAATTTTAGATTCAATTTTTTTTTAGAATAGTTGATATTAAGAACCCATTATATTCCGAAAAGTATTGAATGCATTTGAATTATAAATTGACAAGAACATTGAATATCAATTTCTTTCATCGCACATGAATTTTATGAACACTTTGAAAAAAAATATGCAGCTGAACTAAAAGCAAACCCTACTAGTTTAATCCAATCATATAATTTTCATGCGACATGAAAATTAAACAACAAGAACAAATTACAAAAACCCTAGTCCAGCATATTCAGTCGTCGCGCGACAGAGTGGTTTCCAGAGATATGAAACGACGACGGCAGACATTGGTCGTTTTCAGCAAGGTGAATCGACGGCATCGGTGACCATTGGAGGCTTTTGACGAGGTCAATTGATGGAGGTGTCGACGGCCATCGGAGATTTTCGAAGAGGCCAATTGATGGAGGCGTCGACGGCCATTGGAGATTTTCGAAGAGGCCAATTGATGGAGGCGTTGGCGGCCGTTGGACGTTTTCGACGAGGTCAATTGATGGAGTCGTTGGCGGCCGTTGGAGGTTTCCGACCAGGGTAATCGACGGAGGAGTTGACGGCTGCAGAGCAGGTATCGGAGATCCTTCTTTTCTCATAGCCGTAAATTTCTCCACTCTCTCCGCCACTTTTCCTCTCAGTTCCACCAACGACGACCGGAATCGCTTCAGTTCGTCGATTTTCATAGATTCCAGCGGCTCATCCCACCAAAATCGATCGTTACTCAAGCGCTCTGCCGCGCGCCTCTTCTCGATGTCGAACTCGGCCGCCACATCGTCAAAATCGCGGTTCAACTCCTGCAGAGGGAGGTAGGCCTCTGCCGGCTTAGGCGGAGCAGAGTTTCCAGCGAGAAAACGGTCCAAGAGCGACTCAACATTGGGATGACCGAATGTATAGAGCTTGTTGCTGGCAGAGGAGACGAGGATCGCGATCTCAGCACCGCACAGAACGGAAAGCTCCGCCGCCTTGTTGAAAAGTCCGGCGCGGCGTTTAGAGAAGGTTACCTGCTGGCTACTCTTCTTCTCAAGCTTTTTGATTTCAATTTTCCGACGGCCGAGAGATTTCTTCATCGTCAACAATTTCAGAGAGCAGTAGAATGGGAGTGTTGAATTCCGGAAAGAAATACAGCTGTCGTCGACCGTTGAGACGCGCCGATTATTTATAGGCGTATAAAATAATTTTTAATTATATAAATTCTGATTCTTATTAAAAATATAAATATTTATTTAATTATACGCATCAAGTTTTTTCCTTTTTTGTTTCAATTTATATAAATTAGGGAAAATAACCTTTTTATTATTATTATTAATTTAATTCTTACATCATTTTTTAAAAACAATTACCCATGGTCGCATGCTCGTGGTAGTAGTCATATAAAGTTGTTTTTTAAAAACAATTACACAGTCATGCTTGTTCAGGGCGTTTTGTCCATGAGCACGTGCTTGTTACATGCTGAAACCCTTTGACTTTATTGCTTTCTTTTACTACTTTCATGATCTATAAGTTCCTTCTTGTATTTTCTAAGTGTATGACGTTTTTCGAATCATGTATACATCCAGTAGACGTGAAATGCCCCCATAATGTATTATAGGGGGATACAATTAGTCGTCAACTCCTCCCACCAAGACTTTGTATGAGCGTTCGGCAAAAGCATGTCTACGCCTGCCAGACTTGAACGGGGCTAGAGGCTTGAGGATACGTTGCCCAGTCGTAGGTTACATAAACCCAAATTGGCTTGACTCAAACAGTATTGATAGTGAGTGCCACACAATCACAAAAGTCTGTGGCCAAGAAAAGTGGGATTGTGACACTCATCGTCCTCACTGGCATTCGTTGCTCTCTCCAATCGATGTGGACTTGCTCATCCCCCTTTCTCTTTCGATATGTTTATTTTAACCGAAGTTAAAATGCACTCTCCCCAAAAATTTAGCGGAACTTGTGACGGAAAGAGAAGAGATGTTAAGGATATTTAGTAATAAATTATAGTTTACCATATATATTATATTTGATATTTTATTTTAAGACAAATATCTAATATTTATAGTTTTCCATTTATTGTTATTTCCATTTATTACTATTTTCATATCCTTGTAATTTATTTGATTATAAATAAGATAACTTTCACACCATTTAGGTGTGGTGGATTAATCAAACATTCACATAGTATCAGAGCCCTCTCGGTTTAACAACCCCGATCATTTCTTTTCAATGGCTTTTGAATCCTCTAATCTTCTTTTCCACCACCCCTGCTGGTTTTGACGCCGCAAGGGCAGTCTTCATGGCTGCCGTAGTCGGAGCCGATTGATTACTCTTCGGCTCCACCCTATTGACCTCCAAATCACCTTTCGTCATACTCTGTACATATAACCTCACCTTTTCCAACCAAATCGGTTTTCTCCTTGGCCAATATAGTCTCTCTCATTTTCTTCCCAATCAACCTTCATCCTTCACATAAACCCTAACCTAAACCTATCAACCTTTTGCAGAGATTTACCTTCGGAATCTGGGTGCCGCACTGGCCTATTCGCCAACCAAGTTGCCGCAATCCTTCCTGCCAAAATTGGCTTCTTCGCCCGATGAGGCGACTCTTCCGACTGCCCTTCTCGCCAAAATTGGCTCCTTCGCCCAATGTGGCGACTCTTCCGGCTTCAACATTGTCTTTGTCCCTTGCTCTAGGTTTCCCCTTCTACTTCTTGGGGTTAGAAATATTCTCACCAGAGCCAAGGCAGCATCGTCGCTAAGCGACAATCCCTCTTCATGGGTTAGACATATTCTCGCCGAAGCCAAGGCAGCATCGCCGCTGAGCGGCGATCCCTCTGCAATTTTTGATGGCCAAGAACCGGGTAGTTTGCATCTTCATGAAAAGTGTTTCTCAATCTCTTTGAATTTTTCAGATTCAAGCTTCACGTTCGTTTAAATCCGACGCTTAGCTTGCAGTGGGGTGTTAAGGATATTTAGTAATAAATTATAGTTTACCATATATATTATATTTGATATTTTATTATAAGACAAATATCTAATATTTGCCTTATTATCATAGGTATCTTTCCATTTATTGTTATTTCCATTTATTACTATTTTCATATCCTTGTAATTTATTTGATTATAAATAAGATAACTTTCACACCATTTAGGTGTGGTGGATTAATCAAACATTCACAAGAGACCTAGCTACATTTACGATATGACGATACTTGCGTTCTATGACTCCATTTTGTTGTGGAGTATAGACGCAAGTGCTCTAAAATTCAATGCCACAAGAAAAAATGGTTGCTTTCAGTTTCGTTGCATTTTTTTTTTTCAAATTGTTCATAAAATTCATTTGCGATGGAAGAAATTTATTAGATTGATATTCATGTTTCTTGTCAATTTATAATTCAAATGCATTCAATATTTTGAAACGTAATTATACTTGGTCTTTCGTTCCTCTACCATCTGACCATAAAGCTATTGGTTGTCGTTGGGTGTACAAGATGAAATACAACTTTGATGGTTTTGTTGAACGTTATAAAGCTCAACTGGTAGGTAGCCAAGAGATACATTCAAGTTGAATGTATTGATTACAAAGAGACATTTTCTCTTACAACGAAACTTACTACACTTCGTTGCTTACTCACTATTGTTGCTGCTCGAAAATGGTTCACTCATTAGTTGGATGTTCAAAATGTCTTTCTCCATGGTAATCTAGAGGAGAAAGTTTACATGTCGTTACCCCAAGTTTTCGCCGACAGGGGAGAATACAGTATGTCGGCTACATAAATCTCTTTATGGGTTAAAACAGGCTTCTCGCAATTGGTTCTCCATATTCTCTACCACTATACAAAATGCAAGCTACACTCGTCAAAAACAGATTACTCTGTAGTACTTATTTCACGGCCGTTCTTATCTATGTTGTAGATATTCTGTTGACAGACAATGATCTCAAACAAATTCAATATCTCAAGACTTGTTTACTCGAGAAATTCCTTATCAAAGATTTAAGGAATTTAAAATATTTCCTAGTTATTGAATTTTCTCGATCTTGAAAAGGAATTTTATGTCTCAAAAGAAGCACACTTTAGACATGTCTATTTTTCAAGACACAGGTCTTCCAGAAGCACGTTCAGAAAAATTTCCTATGGAGCAAAATCTGAAACTTTCTTTAACGGAATGAGAGAAGTTGAATGATCCAAGCAAATACAGACGGTTGATTAGTAAATTAATATATTTAACTATTACTAAGCCTGATATTCAGTTCGTATGCGTAGTCAATTCATGCATGAACCAAGAAAACCAAGGAGACAACTCTTTGAATTTTGAGAAGCATCAAAGGTACTCATGGTCAAAGACTTCTACTACCATCTGAAAACAACTTGAGATTACAAGCACATTGGGATTCTAACTGAGGTGGTTGTCGAACTTCCTGACGATATATTTCTGGATTTTGCATCTTCCTATAAAATTCAATTATTTCTTGGAAGTCTAAAAACCAAACAAATGCGTCTAGATCATTGGCAGAAGCCGAGTATCAAGCTATGACAAATAGTTGTTTAGAGTTAACTTGACTGAGATACATTCTTCCAGACTTGAAAGTTCTGCTATCCGAACCAATATTGTTGTATTATGATAATCGAGTAGCATTGCATATAGCAACCAATTCAGTTTTTCATGAACGTACGAAGCACATTAAATAGATTGTCATATATTTCGGAAAAAATTACAAGCTGGAATCATCAAACTATGTTATGTTTCGACTAAAATGCAATTGTCAAATATTTTTACTACAACTTTGGGAAGACAACAATTTGATTTTCTAAAAAACAAGTTGGGTGTGATTGATATACACTCTGGAGAGGAGTATTATGGAATTTGATTTAAGATATTTGTGGAATATATTTGGTTGCATGACTATAATTAGTTGGGCAATATATTTTATATAATATAATCACTTAGATTTTCATCGTACTAAGGCTTCCTTCTTTGAAACTCTTGAACAACCTCTCTTTATCGAGGCCCGGCCCCTTCTCTAAAGCTCTCAAATAAAGTACACTCTTCATTCGACCTTTAGTCACTTTGATTATACATTCCGAGACTCACAACTTATTTTGATAAGATAAGAAATCACTACAAGGGGAATAAGATTCAGATTACCTTGTTGATCGAATATCTCAAGGCAAGAACATTGTTTGAGATTCGAATCACTCCACAAGCAAGATCGATCATGTCTAGCTTGAATGATTCTTGTTGATCAAATATCTTAACACAAGAACACTTGTTTGAGATTCGAATCACTCCACAAGCAAGATTGATCATGTCGAGCTTGAATGATTCTACATGCAACCTAAACTACATAGAATTGCAAATAAACTTAGTCATTGGCTAAAGAAGAGTACAAATGCTTCTTTTACTACATTTTCAAGTCTACCTACAAATACAACATACATGACTTTATATAGCCTCAAAATGAAACTATTAAAGACATTCCAAGAGTTGTAACATTTATAGTTCGTGACTATAATTAACCATTATGTAATTATAATCAAAGTAAACAAAAAGTCTTAAAATACATTAATGAAATACAATAACTCTAAATTACTCCAAAATGTAATTTACCCAAAGTGTATAACATGAAACTTCATTCTTCTTCAATGTGTCATGAATTGATATCTTTTGATAATTTCAACAATATTTTCTTCATATTTTCATTGAAGCATATTGTATGATTGATGTCTCTTGGTTCATATCATATTTGTTCGACACTTGAAGATTCTATTGACATGACTAAATTAGCTGTATGACTCCGATACCATGTTAAGAATCACCAATATCGATAAGAGTATTATTGAAATTTTTAAATATATATATATATATATATATATATATTTAGAGAAAGAGATTTTTTTTAAAAATAATTTAATCCTTATTCACGTGGTAAAAACTGTTTTTACGAGCACTCTTCCTTGCGCTCTGTGTTTAGATATTGTTTTAGTGAAGTAGGGTATTATAGATGAGGGGTGTACATTCAACTCGACAACTCGACGACCCGGACCAACCCAATCCGAACTATAAGGGTTGGGTTGGATTAACGTTTTGGGTAGAGTTGAGTTCATCTTTTTGAATCCGAACTAAATCAATTCGATCTAGGGTTCGTGGATAAAACCTTCGGGTTGACCCGAGCCAAATAAAAATATATAAATTCTTCAACCCAACCCAACCCTCTATATCCCTAGCGTCAAACTCAGGCGTGGTTGTCCTTAGAGAGGCCGAGGTACCACTCTGGCAAACCTATTAATACGGAAAGGTTCTTAACATAATTTATATATTTTTATTTAGCTCGAGTCAGCTCAATGGTTTTATCCACGAACTCGAAACTGAACCGATTTAGTTCAAGTTCAGAAAAATGAACCCAACCCTACCCTACCCGACCCGACCCGAAATGCTAATCTAACCCAACCCAACCCTTATAGTTCGGGTTGGGTTGATCCGAATGGTCGAATTGTCGGTTGAATGTACACCCCTCTAAATTACATATTTAGTATATTAATTTTAAAATTTATGTCTATTAAATTCTTCATTTTTTAAAATAATAAATATAATCTTGAGATAGTATATACAAAATTAAAGATTTAAACCACGTTTAATAATTATTTAATTTTTTATTTTTGAAAACTGTCTTTATTTATTTTTTTTACAAATTCTTATTTATAGTTTTCGTTCCTTAAAATAAATATTTAAATTCTTGATTAAATTTCAAAAATAAAATTGTTTCTTAATTTTCAAAATTTAACTGGAATATTGAAAATAATTTTGAAATTTAGAATTGATTAATCTTTAAAAATTAATAATTAAAAGTTTAATTAAAAACGGAAATTGTAAAAAAACAAAAGGAAAAAAAAAAAAAAAAACACAGTCTGTTCATCAGTTTATTGATCGAGTTTCCCAATTTTAGAAATACAATCTGGCTGTCGCTCAAAAGTAATATGGTATTTCTCGAGCAAGCAGGCCATTAGATTGTGATTGTGTTCCTGAGATTCAATGGATTCATCATCCAGTTGCCCTTTCTGCGACCAAGTTGTTCCATCAAAAGAACTTCAGAGGTACAATTCCTACCGCTTCTGTTGTAATTTCGATCACTTGCTTTGTTCTTTGATTACGTAAACCGACTCTTTCGATCCTCATATCCAAATTTTGCTCACTTTTGATTCGAAAACTTCTGTAGCTTGGGTTTTCTGAACGATTTAGGAAGGTCTCTTTATGTTGTTGCCGTTGCAGGCATGCTAATGGTCACTTTGAAGATGAAGATAATGACGATAAACAACGCCAACTTGCTAGGGACTTTGAGTTGGCCCAGAAAATGGCTTTTTCCTCTACTCCTTACGACAATGTAAGTTGTTCCAACTTTTTAATTCCAGTTGCCTTGGTTCTGCTGTTTTAGTTGTTTGTGGATTCTAGATGATTCATACGGCTTCATGTCAGTAATTTGGTCCCTGTATGGTTCTTTTTGTAGGTTAATCAAGAAACCATTAAACTTGAGGGATCTTTGGATAGCAGCAAGTTAAGTTGTGAGAGGGGGGCTTTGGTGAAGGAAAAGTTGAATGTTAATGAAAAGATCTCTTCCCTGATTGGTTTACAGAATAGGAGTGGTTTTTATAAGGTGGAAGGTGGTCTGATGTCTTTATTAAGAAATTGCTTAGAATTAGAATCTAGTGACTCGACTAGTATTGTGTCAGGGTATGTTGATCATTATCAGAGTATTGAATTTGAGGATCTTGGGTGGGGCTGTGGATGGCGGAACATTCAAATGCTTTGCTCTCATTTGATAATGCAAAGACCAGAAGCTAGAAAGGTTTTATTTGGTGGATCAGGAGTTGTTCCTGATATTCTATCACTTCAGAGATGGCTTGAGATTGCTTGGAAAAAAGGATTTGATGTACATGGTGCAGAGCATTTTAATTACAAAATTTATGGCAGAAAAAATTGGATTGGAGCCACGGAATGTGCTGCCCTTTTGCGTTCCTTTGGGCTCCAGGCAAGGATAGTTGATTTTGGTCCTAAAGAGTGCGAGGAACTTTATCTCTCAGTCCCTGGTTCAAGTAGTGGGGCACAAATGGTAAACTTAATTGATGCAAATAAGAGAAAAACAGCTAAGGTTAATGGGCCCATGGATAGGTTTCTTGTAAGTAGAAATGACGGTGTTCCACAAACTGGTTCTAGTGGGCATGAGAAGTCCAAATATTCTCGAAGTGTCTTGGAAAATAAGTCCACTCAGAAAGCGAAAGGTCATCAGGTTCTGGTTGATTGGGTATGGAATTACTTCTCTGATGGAAGGATATGCACGTATAGTCACCAGCACGTTAATGTTAGTGGAAAAACGTACGTCTTTAATTGACATTTAATCTATCTTTTTGTGTTTATTTTAACATCCATTTGTCTATGTATAATGTGTTTGGCATCAGATAATTGTAGATTGTTTTGCTTGAGAGACTTTTTGGAAGGACTCTTAGGATATCATCATCTCAATGCTTCTAAATGGGGTCTTCTTTCTAAGTAATTTTGTAACTATTCCATTTTAACTCATTGGAGAGTATTTTTCTAATTCTCTTTCGTTTCTTTTGGTGGATTTCTTGTGTGCCTTCCCTTGTATTCTTTGGATATTAATAAAGCATGGCACTCTGTTTGTCTTTTCATATAAAAGTACATTATGTATATATTGATTATCATGATGATGTGGAAGGTGTCACGACATGTTTCAATTATCAAATGGTTCCATTGATTTTATCAACAAAGTTTCCTTTCTGTAATACAAGAAAGAATGTGCCATCATTATCTTTAACTTCATAAGATCTTTTCAACTAGGCCATTGTTCTTTCAGCATGATGGACATTCTAGGACCATTGTGGGCATTCAAGTCAAACAGCAGCGTAATGGAATGCAGCAATACAATCTCCTGATTTTGGACCCAGCTCATGTAATTTTCTGCCCCTGCTATTTCATTTGTGTGCCCTATCTTTGCAGCTGTCATTTTTCTTTGTTGCCCAATATTCAAATGGAAAAAAGGATATTTGTTTGTTGCTTAAACATTATTGACTCGTTACTCAGCTTAAAGGTTCATTTCCTTGCAAATCTCTTAGTTGAATAATTGGTATATTTTAGTTGGCATGCATTTTTCTCAATGTGTTTGTTCATCTTGAAGTTTGCTTAAATATCACAACACTTATTGACAGGTGGTTTGAGTATGCGTATGCCATGTGTGTCTTGATTTCATTGGTGTTTCTCGCAGTTGTATATGGATGCTTGGAAGTTCTTTATAATGGTTTTCTTAATAAAAGTTACCGTTTCTTATATATAGATATAGTCATTAAAGAAAAAGAGAAACTCTTCTTCCTCTTCCTTCTTGCACTTGGAAATTTCAGTTGATTAATTATTAGGAATTGCTTTCTTTTTTTCATGTTGCATTCTTATGATCTCATGATGTTGTGCAGAGTACTAAAGGCATTGAAAAGTCCCTTAGAGAGAATAATGGATGGCAGAAACTAATAAAAAGAGGAACTCATACGCTGAATAAGCCACAATACCAGGTTTTCCTTCCTTAATGATGAACTTATAAGTAAAAATTCCAGGTTATTGGATGGTGACTATTTACTTAATAAATCTTTTTTCAGTTGTGTTATATTGATTCTGGAATTGCTGCTGGGGCTGACTTGGAATTGCTGAAGAAAATTGATAGCCTCTTTCTGGAGCTTTAGATGAACATATTGTACCTTTTTTGTTCTCTGACACACAGGTCATTGACGTATATTTAATCTAAAAAGCTTTCATTTGTAAGAACCTAGTTTTTCAACTAATTAATTATTTTAGCGGCCTTTTATATAAGGATATTAGACTTCTATCCTACCTGTATGGATTTAAGATATTAATCATCAGCGAGACTCTGTATTCTGAAGAGTTTTGAATACACTCCATCAGGAGCTGTCAACAGGGAGGTATGTGAACCTATCTCCGCAATCTCACCTCTATCCATGACTACAATAACGTCTGAGTTTATCACTGTAGAGAGCTGATGGGCAACTATAATCTGAGTAGTTCTGAGTCCATTGTTCCCGTTTGTTGACTCTAAAGCACTAACTAAAGTTCTTTCAGATTCAGCATCTAATGCACTTGTTGGTTCATCTAGGAGCAAAATTGCTGGCTTCTTCAAAAGAGTTCTAGCAATAGCTATTCTCTGCTTTTGTCCTCCTGATAGTTGGCAACCTTTTTCTCCAACAAGTGTATCATATCCATCAGGCAAAGTACTGACAAATTCATGCACTCTAGCTTCTCTTGACACCTTTAAAAGTTCAGTTTCAGCAACCTGCTCACTCCCGTAGCAAATATTATATCTGATCGAGGAGCTAAATAGAACAGGCTCTTGTTGCACAAACCCTATCTGTGTTCTCAATATTCTCAGATTGTATTCTTTTATATCCTTCCCATCAATGAGGATCTTTCCTTCTTCAGGGTCGTAGAATCTGAGCAGAAGTGCCAAAACAGAGGACTTTCCAGCGCCACTTGGTCCAATAAGAGCCACCTTTGATCCTGCTTTGATTTGTAAGCTGAAGTTTGGAAGAACAACAATTTCTGGCCTTGATGGATAATTAAATTTTACACTTTGAAAATCAATTCTCCCTTCAATTTTCTCTGTTTCTGGACTTTTTGGTATTTCTGGTTCAATAAGAGTTTTTCGATCCAGCGTGTGGAATGCCGGAGTTAGTATGTCAATGGCTGAGATGACAGTTGGAATTAATGTCCACAGTTCAGTGATTGAGGGCACTGTGAGGGAGAAAATCTGGTATGATCTTATGCCATCTTCAAAGGATGCTTGTCTTTTGTGAACCAAAATTGCCGTGTACCACAAAGCAATGGCATGGGCAATGTTCCATAAGCAAAGGGAGATGCCGTGAATGATTCCATATTTAATGCTTTCTCTCTTGCTTTTTCTCTTTGGTTCTTCTAATGTCATTCTTGCTCTTTTCATTATTTGTTCTTCATGGCAGAAAGATACAATAGTTCTTATGTTGGTTGCTGACTCGGATGCTAGTGAAACTAGTTCATGATGAGCAGCAGCAGAATCTCCTGCAAATCCCTTGGCAGACTTGGCTTGTATCAGGCCACCAATAAAGTGGAAAGGCATGACAGCCCAAGCAACGAGAGCCATTCTCCAGTTGACGATCAAGCTGACAGTGGTGGCAATTAGAATGGAGGAGATGCATTGCACAATAACAGACATTCGATCAGCTATTATGGTCTTTATCATGGAGGTGGTGTTCATTATTTGTGATGTAAGTGAACCAACGTTGTTTTCAGGTCTGTCAAACCATGCTACTTCATTGCGTAGTACAGCTAAAATAATTCATCGAAAAAATTGGATTAGTCTAGGTAATATTAGAAGCTTTTTCTGACTTCATAATATCCTCCTAAAATTTCCCTTTAACCAATCAAAGAAAAGTGTTCTTAAGTTGTACCTGAATAGAGAGCTTCTCTGAAGTTTTTCATTGCCTTCTCTCCCACTACTCCGAAGAAATAGTGTTGCAAGGTGTGCGTAAAAAGTGATAGTAATCCCACTAGAGAGAAGATGAGGGAGTATAATCCAACTTTGTGCTTCGCATTTTTGTGATAGTAGGCTACCCCTATTGTTATGATAAAGAATCCAAAAATAGGCTTTGAGATGCCAGACAAAGCTGCTGCAAAAGATCCAAAAATAGTCTTCATAATCTCTATATTACTCAGGCCAAACCAGATTCTAAAGAATATTTCTTTTGGTCTCTCTTTCCCTTCTTGGCCCAAAGAATCTCTTTTGAAATTTTTTGGCTCCGGGTTTTCATCTTGATCAAGGTCACAAGATGAAGCTTGTTGATGGGTACTCCCTGGTTCTGACAATGAATTTGAATTGCTGTCCATTAATAAACAATTCATACTAGTTAGTTATGTTTTCTTTTGAAGCAAATGTGGTTTATTTAGTATGAAGAACAAACCTTGAGTCTTGAATTGGTTTGATATTATGCATGCTGAATAGGTTACTATAGAATTTACTTGTTTCTAGCAAACTTTGGTGTGTTCCTGTCTCTGAGACTCTTCCATTTTCTATGATTGCAATCATATCTGCACCAATAATAGTCGACATTCTGTGGGCAACCAAAATGACTGTCCTCTCAACTATAGCCTTTTCGAGGGCGTCCTGAACCAACCTCTCAGATTCTGAATCTAATGCACTCGTGGCCTCGTCCAGTAAGAGAATTCGTGGGTTCTTGAGAATGGCTCTTGCAATAGCTATTCTTTGCTTTTGACCTCCTGACAGTTGAGTTCCCCCTTGTCCAACCTGAAATTTTTGACCCACATGCTTATTATTCATTTGTTAGGCATCTCGGAAACAACATATATTTTATAGGCGCTCCTAAATGTTTCAGTATTCTATGGTAGAATTCTCAATCACCTTGAATTATTAAAATTAGGTTAAACTTTGAATTCTGGTACGAAATGGCATTGATAGCTAAGGAAAGTTGTTTTGACTCATAGTCTTACCTCTGTTAAGTACTGCTTTGGAAGGTCTGATATAAAAGAGTGCGCATTCGCCATTATTGCTGCATTTTCTATCTGTTGATCATTTGCATCTAGTTTTCCCATTTTGATGTTATCATTGATGGTTCCAGCAAAAAGTACAGGTTCCTGGGAAACTATTCCTATGTTATTCCTGAGGAATTTCAGATTCAGATCCTTGATGTTCTGATGATCTATGAAAATGTTTCCTGAAGAAAAGCCAATTTAAGATTGACATGAAGGCCAAAACTAAGATGATGAAAAATAAGAGAGAGAGGATGACGAGGCAAAGAGCTGGTGGAGGCATACCCTGGAGAGGGTCATAGAATCTAGTGACGAGGGAGATTACTGTACTCTTTCCACACCCGCTGCGGCCGACTAAGGCTATGGTCTGTCCTGCTGGAATGGACAAAGAGAAGGCTTGAAGGACTAGTTTCTGAGGTCGAGACGGGTAAGCAAAGTGAACCTCTCGTATGTCGATATTTCCTTCAATATGCTCCAATGTCTTGTCTTCTGAACCGTCAATTGCAGGGGGCTTCCTTTGAATGACTTGGAAAACTTCCTTCCCTGCTGCCTTTGCCTGGTTGAATATTTGCATGTCTGGTGCAGCGTAAGTCAGTGAGCTGCAACACAGCAAAAAAAAGAGAGGTATTTCATTTGATGTAGTTGAACATTATATTTCACATCTTTGGTTCATCTTTGATTATATATTTTGATATGTTAACATTCTTTCTTTAGTAGTTTAGTGTTAATTACTTACATTGCTCCAAAGAGAATGCTTAGAACAGCACCTATGATGTCCCCTCCACTGGCCCTTCCCGCAGTAATGACAACGGCTCCAATCCATACAATGAGACTCCAACAGCAAAAAGTGACAGTTTGAAACATTCCTATGCCCACTCCCTTCACCAATGCTTCTTGCTTGCTCATCACAACCAGTTTCTCGCATTGCTCTGCAAACGCCTTCATGCAGCCTCTCTCTCCCACAAATGCGTACACTGCTCTGATTTGAGATATTGACTGCTCCATACATATCAGGTAACATATTTGTTCTATACATTCAAAAACTAACTTGTAATTCTGTTGGCATCTTTACCTGTTGGACCAAGGAAGTAGCTTGTGATTGGTAACCCATTTTGAGAGAGGAAATGACAGTCATCCTCTTGGTATAAGTAGCCCCAATTGCAAGAACCAATGGAGCAACCAAGAGAGTGAGCAATGACACTTCCCAACAGCTTATGATAGCAATCACAAATCCACTAATGAAAGTCGCCACACTTGATAGAAAATGCCCCAACTGTATCCCATGCAATATTAGAGAAGGTTTAGTAGAAAAGAACAATAAACCGTTTCTTTTATCTCTAGCATACTTGATATTATGTTAGTCGGTCTCTAATCCAAAATGGTAAGTCGATAGATAACGATAAATTTAATCATTTGTTCATAGTGGTGTGGGAATTTAATGCTAGAAACCACGACTCTCCACAATGGTATGATATTGTTCATTTTGAGCATAAGCTCTCATGACTTTGTTTTTGGTTTTCCCAAAAGGCTTCAAAAGATCTCATATTAATGGAGATGTATTCCTTACTTATAAACTCATGATCAACCCTAAAGTTAGCCGATGTGGGACTCCTCTCTCAACGATTCTCAACATTTAAAAAATTAATTGTTTACCTTTTCTCCAATGGCGTCCTGTATAATGTTCATGTGACTACTGATTCCAGTGATTATTTCGGCCGTCGTGAGATTTGTGTCAAAAGCACCAATTTCCTGATTAAGTACGGATTGCAAGAATGCCAATCTTAGGCGAGCCGTCTGTCTCTCACTTGCATACATCCAACACCCAATTTCTATAGAGAGAATGAAAATGTAAGTATACTTTCCTTATGTAAAGTAATTGATTCAAGTATTGTTGAAGGAAGAAAGGGATTTTACCAAGTATTCCTGCAGGGAAAGTGGCGATGGCCATGTACCATACAAATGGAATCACCTACCAAAACATGAAACAAAATAAATCCTCGCATAGTACCTTTCTATACAAAATAATAATGTGAACACAATTGGTAAGTATACCTCATAGAGGGCATCAACCATTGCATCAAGGTCATCGATATTATTTCCAAATGCATCAAGTGCTTTGCCAAGCAACAGATACCCAATTGGCTGAGCCATGCCATGGACAACAGAACCCAATGTCCCCAAAGCCATTAAGACCCAATCCAAAGCATCAGCATAGCCAAGAAGCTTGTGGAATGGCAAAGGATCATCAATGGAGGTATCTTCTTGCCTTTTCTCTTCATGAGTCATCTTCTTTTATTTGTTGCAGCCTCTAATTTACATGCAGAACTAGAGTTCCCTTTTTATATTATATACAGCTGCAGATTAGCTGAATTGAATCAAAAGAATGTTCATGGGATATGCTGTTTTCAAATGAAATATTAAATTAGGAAGAGAAAAGTGTAGTGAAGTGGCCTTTTCTTCTTGATTTTATATGAATGTTGTTTTGTGATGATGGATATATGTATGTATATATAAAATGCTGCTGGCTTTGTGGAGTG